CCCATTGTTATAACATCTCTAGTACTTTCCTTAGTTTCTGGTAGCGAAAGCTAAGTTAAAGCTTCTGGTGGCAAAGCAGCTGGAGAGTTTTTGACTGCGTCAATAATAATTTAGCACGAATTTGACTATGTTCCCCAACATCAGATCTCACTATCTTTGATCACAGGTAAGCGATTTCGTCCAGGAATCGTAAAATCAAAATGCTATAAAAAAAAGTTACCTGCTACAGCATTCATCGGGTCTTGCTCTCCCAACTTATGCCGAGTTCACACTGCACGATTTTCAAAGACGTCGCATCACTGTTGTTTTCACACTGCGTGACTATCTGGGGTAGCATTCAGTTGCTGCTGTGTTCACACTGCACGATGGAACGACGACAGGAGGTTACACACTGCATGACTTTACAATAGGAAGAATCGCCGACAGCTCTGTCTGGTGCAGGGTTGCCAGGTTTTCGCTACAAAACCCTCCCAATTACTACTCAAAACTTGCCTGAAAATAGTCAAATTGCTTTCGAGGGGGTCCCCCAGTAAAAATCGTGTTCGGGGGGTAAAATACAATTTTTTTTGGCGGGGTTCTCCTGGAACAATTCACATTCCAGGGCCTAAATAAAAATATAAAAAACAACCGGCGGCAATCGCCGATTTGGCAACACTGGTCCACAAACTATGTTTCATATAACTCCTCCTAAACTTGCCTGAAAATAGTCAAATTGCTTTCGAGGGGGTCCCCCAGTAAAAATCGCTGATGTGTTTTTCAGTCAGAACTCATTTCACACAGCGTGATTGTGAATTCCCTCAGATCGCGTCTTTGATAATTCACACTGTGTGATTATCACTCGTGTGAACGAGCACCCATTTGCCTCCGATTTCAGGCATTTGTCGGCGATTTCGCAAAAACCTGTCGGCGAGTGAAAAATCGGGATAAAATCGTGCAGTGTGAACTCGACATTAGACTTCGTGTGTGCGCACATCCATGTTGCTTAGTAACGAACAAGCTTGTTCACGTAATTTACGCGGAAACAACAACATTCTAATTTCTGATTGGCTAGTAGGTGAACTCGGCAGAGAGCTTCCCTCCGTATTCATCCACTAATTATAGCAGGACAAGTTATCCCTTATTTCTCAGCATGAGAAATACAAGGTGTGGCGTGAGAGCGTGTGAACAGGTTGAAATGCGTGTGTCTCACGGTGAATGTGTGAGACTTGAGAGCCCTGAGTACGTAACCTATGCGGCCTTGATTTGTTGGGGTACGGTGAAGATTTCTTCATGCTCTTGGGAACATAATTTCTTTGGTTTTCGTTTGTCTGAGGGATTATTTACAAAAAAAAAAACGTAAAAAGTACATTTTGCAGCAGGCACATCCATGTTGCTTAGTAACGAACAAGCTTGCAGCGGGCAGCGGGATCACGTAATTTACGCGGAAACAACAACATTCTAATTTCTGATTGGCTAGTAGGTGAACTCGGCAGAGAGCTTCCCTCCGTATTCGTCCACTAATTATAGCAGGACAAGTTATCCCTTATTTCTCAGCATGAGAAATACAAGGTGTGGCGTGAGAGCGTGTGAACAGGTTGAAATGCGTGTGTCTCACGGTGAATGTGTGAGACTTGAGAGCCCTGAGTACGTAACCTATGCGGCCTTGATTTGTTGGGGTACGGTGAAGATTTCTTCATGCTCTTGGGAACATAATTTCTTTGGTTTTCGTTTGTCTGAGGGATTATTTACAAAAAAAAAAACGTAAAAAGTACATTTTGCAGCAGGACATCAATGACTTAACAGCTTAATAAAGTAACTGTATTGTTTTTTTTGTCCTTCCTCCAGAAATCAATCAACAGTACTGACCTTAAAATGTTTTACACAATTCATCAGTGCACATTGTAATAAAGTTTGTTTCATAATCTTTCAATAAAAATATAAGAATTTAGTCCACCTCTTCATCTCATAAGTAGTCACGATGTCAGAGTAGGCTTCAGGATAATGTTAACCAAAGTAGACACGGCTTGAGGGGCAATCATTTGGCACAGAAAAAAAAACTTCACTGAGTATTTTGATAAGTTAGTCTTATCTCCTCTACAGATCACTATGGCTCATGTCCTAATATAATAAGCCATTTTATAAATACAAGTAATTGACCCTTCACAAAAATCAGCCCTCCTTTTTTACTGTTGCTATGTCCGACAAGCAATGTGGCTCTCACACTACACGTCATGTTCTCATGCAGTGAAAAATACATCACAGATCACAGAGGAAACTGACAACACACCGACAGACAAGAAAAAAAGCAGTTACTTCTGGTATAAAGCATGGCCTCAGCTTTCAAATTTTGCCATTTTGTAAGAAATTCTAATAATAAATACCGTTTTGTGGCTCTTTACTGTGTCGTGACAGAACACTGTATTGCCTCAGTTCAAGCAGCACACGTGAACCGACCTTTTCATATTTACTTAAAGTGCGAAATAAACATGAATGAACATCAGAATGTATGTTATTTCAATATACATAATTTTTCACGTTTAAGTCCACCAAAGTTTATCTACTCTCCTGTATGATATGTTTGTCGGACAAAATTATGGATTTGACGTTATGATTGGTCAGATCACCTGTCAGTCAAGCTCTTTGTGAAGGATCAATTCCCAATGGACAAAACAAAGGCCGACTTCATTACAAAAATGAGGGGATATAAATCACTTTATGTAATCAGAGTCTATGCCCATCATACGCTACATAAAAAATCTGCAGACTGGTTTTGACTTCTGCCAGCTGTAAATCGAGGCAAAAATCTGCGCAAAAGTCTGTAGTGTATTCCCACCTTAAGTAAAATGTCATATGGCATAAACCAGGATAGGCATATTAGGTGGTCATGTGTTAAAAATAACTTTTTCTCTGTTACTCTAGAATCCAGATCGGATGATGATGCCAACTGCTACCCTCTCTTTCCTCCTGGGCCTCACCATCCCCCAGAACAGCAGGACAGCTATGCAAACCAGTCTTATGGCACCCCTCACCCTGGTTCCCTCCAACCCATGGAGTCTCCCAGCAGGGTATTTGACTGTCCTAGCATCCAAATCACCTCTATCACAGCCAACTGCCACCAGGACCTGGGTGCGCACCAGTTGGACGAGTTGGCAGGTGCATGTGGGGAAGCCGGTGCTGGGTCTCTATCAAGGGACCAGCTCTTTCTGCCATTGGATGCATCCTACAGGGACACGTCCTCACTGTGTCCCAGCCCCTGCAGTAGTTTGTCCTCCCGCAGCTGGTTGTCTGACGCCTCGTCCTGCGAATCCTTCTCGCACATCTACGATGATGTGGAGGCAGAACTGAATGAGGCAGCCGCTCAAGTTCAGCTGTCTTCTCCTCTAGTGTCACCGCTGGCGTCTCCTCTGCCGTCCCCACTAACTTCTCCCCAGGCGTCTCCTCAAGTGTCTCCTCTTGTGTCCCCCTTTGGTTCTCCTCTGGCTGCATATGGAGATGACCCTTGGTACCGTTATCAACAACATCATCAGCAACCTCTACAATATCATTACGCCCAATCGCTGTCACCATATCAGTCACCCCGCACCAGCATCACTGAGGAAACGTGGCTCAGTCCCCGTCCACAATCCTCATCCTCGCGGCCTTCTTCTCGGCCAACCTCGCCATGTGGAAAAAGGCGACATTCCAGTGCAGAGGTCATTCCCGGTTTGGCATCTCCGCACCTTTCCCCCAACGTAACACCGTCTCACTCTCCTCGGGGGAGTGTCACTGAGGAGACATGGATGGGAGGTGCCACATTTGCCCCCTACCAGACCCCTCCACTGGAGGTAGACATCCCATCCAAAACAAGAAGAACGTATCAGACCAACCACAACCAGCATCAAGTGGCTCTGTTACCAGAGGGCTCAAGTCTTCAAGACCCAGGTCTTGCAAATCCATCGCTAAACTCAGGCATAGCCGTGTCCCTCCCCAGTTTAAAGAAAGAGGATATAGTGGAACATTTCTTAGCCGTCCCAACACACCCTTGGGTTAGATCCAAACAAGTCAGCACTCCTTTATACAGGTAAACTGCATGTACATATTGGACTCAATTGTTCACCTTTTGGTTTTGAACAAGTGCCAGGGTTACATCAGGGGTCTCCAAACGCTGTCCTTGAGGGCCGATGTCTTGCAGAGTTTAGCTCCAACCCTAATTAAACACAACTGAACCAGCTGAACAAGGTCTTACTAGGCATGCTAGAAACTTCCAGGCACGGCTAAAATGTACAGGAGTTTGAAGACCCCTGAGTTACATAATAGATTTTGGCCTTGTTGTTCCATCATTTATGAACCTGTTGGGGCTATAACAACGGGTGTTCTGTTTCATTGGCCAATGCTCAAAAACAACTGCCACACTTGTTACAGCCGCTGCTGTTTCTTTTTCTTACTCAGGTCCACATCTTTACCTCCACTGGACTCTCCTCTGCCCAATCAGTGTGGCCAGTGTGAGTTAAAAATTGAGATCCAACCTAAGCCTCACCACAGAGCCCATTATGAGACGGAGGGCAGTCGAGGGGCCATTAAATCAGACTGTGGAAGGCACCCCGTTGTAAAGGTCAGACTTTACACCAGATCTCAGATTAGCCTTTTATGATTTCCCCCACAGTTGACAATGGTTTACGTTTGGACTCTGGCCACCTGTTTTTCTGAAAAATGGGAGTGGAAACCTGTTTGGAAATACAGTCAGTTTTTACAATTCCATTTGCTGTCACTAGTGAATTATACATGGAATTTCTTACATGTGATTAATTGATTATGGTTAATTATTGATGGAGTATTTCATCCATCATTACCTACTTTTCTATGTTGTTTTTGTTCGTCACACAGCGTACAGACTTTATTGTGCGCATTTTGAACAGTTCACTGAACTTGCACAGCGGTTTTCATTGTTCTGATAAATTGAGAAAGGGTTCCATACATAAAGGTTTGTTGCTCATCTGACATCTGCTCTAGTACAAGACAAAAGTACTAGATTATTGTTTGGGTGTATTTAATTATTTATATTAATATTATAATATTAATTAGCATTATTATGCATTCTATTTTTAAAGCTGTATTAGATAGTTTAGATATTATTGGATTAATGATACTAGAATTTACCAATGAGAGAAGGAGAGATATGTGATTCATGTGATAAATATCAGCCAGTCTTATGGACATAACTTTTGATCCAGTCAGCTTGTGGTATTTTTAACAGGGTTCAAGCTAATGTTACATGTGTTGGACTGTTTGTTTACCCTAGTTACCTACGACACAACCATTCCTGACATTAAAGGAACAGATGTTGAGAGCTTTTCAGGGATAATCGCATGATCGTCAAGATCGCCAACAAACTTTGAATGTTGGTTTGAAATTTCAGTCTGATATGGGTTACTTTGAATACTTTAAGAGCTATAGAGCATTAAGGTTTTGATGGATGATGGCTAGGCAGATACATCTAGGAACTATTCATTTGGAATTACCGGTAACATTTTTACTCATATTGTTTCTTCTTGCGTCTGCAGCTAACAGGGTATAATGAAAAACCCGTCAGCCTGCAGATGTTCATCGGGACAGCGGATGAGCGTTACATCAGGCCACACCTATTCTATCAAGTGCACAGGATTACTGGGAAAACCGTCGCGACGCCGAGTCAAGAGACAGTGATATCCTGCACCAAAGTTCTTGAAATTCCTCTCCTGCCTGAAAACAATATGTGTGCCAGGTACCTGTCGAACAAACCTCTGATTTGCATGCACCCTGCCCTGCATGCATTGTAGACAAAGCTTTTTTGCATAAATGATGTATTGACATGGCTAACAGTTCTGTCTTTATATCAAGATGTCAGCGCTGAATGGAAATTATGTGAAATTCAGAACAGTTTTAAAGGTGCAATCTTTTTCCGTTTTACTTTTCAAGAAACAAATACTACTTTTAATAAATATGGTTACTCTATATTCAGGGTTCGTACGGTCATGAAAAACCTGGAAAAGTCATGGAATTTTAAAACCCCAATTTCCAGGCCTGGAAAAGTTTTGGAAAAATAAATAAACCCAGAAAGTTTTGGAAAAGTCATTGAAATCTATTTCACAAAACTCTGTATAATAGAATTGCGTTTAATCAGGTCCTGAATTTCGGTGACGGATTGCGCATAGGCTATATCGCATTTTACTCATTCCCGCAGCTTTTGACTTTAAAATGATGGATATTCACACATTTATTCAATAGCCTATAGCATGTAGGTTTGATGAGTAAACAATCAAACCTACAGACTGAGTCCAGTCCACACAGACTGATCAAATCAGTCATTTGAAAACAGCGTGAGTGATTCAGCTGTACGCGTCTTCTCTCTTTGACTTTCTCTTCAAACGGCTTCACATCGGCGCATCTTGTCTGCGCTACAAGAGCCGCTGCACGCTGCGATACAAGACTTTCACACGCGTTTCGGGACAGTTGACAGAATAGTCACTTGCCTAATCGGGTCATTGTTGCATCGTCAGAAAATTTTTGTTAAATTCAAGTTTTTGTTTTTTTTAAGTAAGCGGCCAGTGGCAGACAGTGAGTTAATCATAGCCTATGTTTGATCAATTTAGCCTTCTCAAATCATCACCACTTGACTAAAATAAAATCTATAGGCCTATATAAAATGCTTAAAAAAAACAATGTTAGTTTAAATGGTTAACCTAGATAAATGTGTGCTATTAGGAGCGTATCCAATCGTTTGTGCAGAGAAGCTAATCATGGAAAAGTCATGGAAATGTATTGGTAAAAATGTGTACGAACCCTGTATATTGATTTACACTCAATGTTATAAATCTAGTTATATCAGTACCCTAATTAAAGTTGATTTATTTTACATGGAGTGGGTTACATCATGGAAGCTGACATATTGAGATCACATAGAATAAATCTTTTTTTTTTTATCTTGGTACCCACCTTATTATCTGGCATTTTCATTAAAGGGGTCATCAGAGGCCCATTTCCACAAGTATTACATCATGGAAGCTGACATATTGAGATCACATAGAATAAATCTTTTTTTTTTTTATCTTGGTACCCACCTTATTATCTGGCATTTTCATTAAAGGGGTCATCAGAGGCCCATTTCCACAAGTTGATATGATTCTTTATGGTCTTAATGAAAAGTCTATAACATAATTTGGTTAAAATTTCTCAATGGTAGTGTAAAAAACACCCTTTTTACCCTGTAAAAAACAGCAAGCCATTTCGGTGCATGTCCCTTTAAATGCTAATGAGCTCTGCTCACACTGCCCCTCTCTTCCGAGATGCTCTCTGTGAGACTGTAAACTTTAGCCGCATTCACCGTGAAACTTGCTAACTAGCACATTATTAGGAAAGGTCATTTCCAAAATTCATAGAAAAAAACGTATACTCACTTCTTCTGGAGGTGAAGCTGGATCACACTGAACACATTTAGATAGATGAGAGGGCGCATTCCCTTCAGAAACAAATGTAATCCACTGTGTCTTCAGTGGCTCAGATGTCGGGAGTAAATGAAGACTGTTATGTTCATTATTACATCCAACAACAGAACACCTCAATCACTTAGGAGACATTCTTATTTACATCTGCTCTGGCGTCGAAACAGTGGCGGACTGATGACAGCACACTCGGAGCTAAGGTAAAACGCTAGTGTCAATCAACAATCGTGGGAGGGGCCTGGGTCCGTGTGACATCACACAGCCAAGAACCTGAGAACAGCTTGATTTGAAAAAGGGGATATGGGTGGATTTATATCATTATAGGGTGGTTGTGTACACACACTGCCAACACACATTTCAGTTCAAACAACAAATAATTTTGCTTCTGATGACCCATTTAACAGAAAAAAACATGGCTGAGAACAGAACATTACTTCAATGGCTTTGGTAATTAAAAAAACTACTGCTTTTGCATGATAATGTATTCACCCACACCCATACTGGCCAGGCTTTTAATATAAACTTCTCCAGATTTCGATGATATTCAGTAAACGCATGTCTCATGAATGAATATACAAAGTGAAATTCATTTGAAATGGGATTTATAGCTTATAGTTAAAAGTTGCTGTGGGCCACTGGCAGCAAACAGCACCAATTATGTCACTCTGGCTTCATTTCCATAGATTACTGCAATTTTATTAAATAAACACCATTTAACTGACTTTTATCATCTTTCCTTGAAAGCATTGACTGTGCTGGGATCCTGAAGCTACGGAATTCAGACATCGAGCTGCGGAAAGGAGAGACGGATATCGGGCGTAAAAACACACGTGTGCGTGCTGTGTTCCGTGTTCATATCCCTCAACACAATGGAAAAGTGCTGTCACTGCAGGTGGCGTCCATGCCTATAGAATGCTGTGAGTTCTTTTCTGTGGTGATGTATCTTCTATGTAAACAATTTTGGTGGATTTTGGATTTTGGATTTTGGATACAAAGTGCATATGTCGCCATGATTTTGAAAATGTTACCAAGCCATATTGATCAACATTTCCTCAGCAATTTACCGCCATTTTCTTTCTCTGTTGACTAGCTCAACGATTAGCTCAGGAACTTCCCCAAATCGAGAGCTTTAGTCCCACCTGTGGTACTGTGACTGGAGGAGAAGAGATGCTTATAACAGGCCAAAACATCAATCCAGAGTCAACAGTTGTCTTCCTAGAAAAGGGCTCTGGTAAGTGAAATCATCTATTACAATAACTGTTCTCACAGCTAGTTCCTCTGCTGTAATTAGGAACAGTTTTTAGATCAGTAGTCTTGCAATAAATTTTGGATGACAGTTTATGTTATGTAATAACAAAAAAGCCTTTGTTGTCTTTTTTTTCATTCCAGATGGTAAAACACAATGGGAGTTCGATGTGAGGGCTCTACAAGAAAAGAGTCAAAATGTAAGCACAGTATGTTATTGATTTTGTAATGAAACTCTGAAATTCCTCAATTTATTTAACATCATAACTTATGTTAAATACACTTCCCATTGAGATCTGTAGTTACAAGTGTATCTGAAGTTCTCTTGTGTTCCCATTCCTGTTTAGACAAGCATAGTGGTAAAGATTCCTCCGTACTACAAGAAAACCACGGCTTCCTCCACCCAGGTGCAGTTCTATGTTAGCAATGGCAAGAAGAAGAGAAGTGCCTCACAGTTCTTCACCTATCTTTCAGGTAATTGCCACACTTTCAGCATGTCTGGTCCACTTTGGTGGCAAGAACTGTCAGTTAGACAGCAAGAGGAAGTCCAATAATGTATCAAAGACAAACTACAGTTAAAAACATGTATTTTGAAGATGCAACAATATCCAGCTGGTTCATCAAGGCAGTAGCTCATTCAGTCTCTATGAAGGTTTGTACAGTCTGCCCAGAAGCAATTAATAGAAAATCTGGTCCCACTATATATTTAAGTGGCCTTAACTACTATGTACTTACATCCACAAATAAGTACAATGCACTTATTGTGTTCATATTGTGTTGCAAAACACTTCTGCTGCTATTGAGGTGGGATATGGGTAAGGTTAGGGACAGGTTTGGTGGTATGGGTAGGTTTAAGAGTGGGTTAAGGTGTAAGGGATTGGTCAACAGTGCAACTATAAATGTAATTACAGAAATTAAAGATGGAATTATAGGCAGGTATTATTTTTTTAAATATGTGCAATGTAAAACCATGTATGTACACAATAAGTGCACTGTACCACATTATTAATTTAAATGTAAGTAAATTAGTGGCAGTTAAAGCCACTTAATATAAAGTGGGACCGAAAATGTATGTAGATGCAGAATATATGTAGAGTGTATATCTTAAAGAAATAAGCACTGATAATGGTTACTGACACAGCTCAAAGTAAAAAAGGATATCCTGTTTCCACCTGGTATTAAGATGCATCTCTGGTGATCCAATCATAACCGGTGTAATCAAAAAGGTGTAAAACATTTTATCTGATCACTGAAACCACACATGGAGGGAGTCAAAACACACATGATCACATTGCATTTGTAGTAGAAACGCTGTCTGTCCTTAATGCGTTCCAGACCATAGTGAAGTACCTAAAATGTGTTCATCCTGAGACGTGTTGCAAGAAAGCACACCAAAGCAAGCAATTCAAAGTTAGCTGCATTGTACCAAAACACAATGGGAATCACTAGAGTTGGGGTACTTTGACTTGGGACTTGGACTCGAACTGCAATTGTGAATGGACTTGGACTTGGATATTTTGGGCACAGAAATGCATGTCATGTGTTACTTAGAAAGATTAAAAAAACAAGTATCATCATGAAATTAAGATACAAAGATAAATGTTTCCCACTTCAACTCAGTTGGTTAAAAACTAGGACTCGACTTGGACTCAAAGAGGTGGACTCTGCCCTTTTCATTTGCTTTCTTTCCCATTTAGTTGTAAGCCACATAATATGCTTTTGTTAATTCTGTAGTATTTGTGCACTGTACCCGGCACTCATGTGAAAGTGATGTAGAGTGTCATGAACAGTGTTGGGGGTAACGCATTACAAGTAACATAATCAGATTACTTTTTCAAGTAACTAGTAAAGTAACGCATTACTTTTTAATTCACAAGAGAATATCTGAGTTACTTTTTCAAATAAGTAACGCAAGTTACTTTTTTTTTCAATTTATTGATTGACAGCTCTCCTATCCCCATTAAGAGATGAGTGTCTCAAAAATAATGTAACAACAAATGATCACGGGAGATTTGAAATGCATGGTAATACCAGTTGGAAATAGTAAAGAGTTCAAGAGGCCTAAGTGTTTTGGACAAAACTGAATATCTAAGGTATATGCAGATGTTCTGAAGCATTTATTGTATCAGCCAGGTGACTGGTAGAAATAGCCAGTACTTGGCAAGGTGTAAAGTGTCTTTCAGAATTTGCGTAGATCAGAAGTAGCCAACTCTGCTTCTGGAAGGCTGCCACCCTGCAGGGTTTAGCTCTAATCAAACACACCTGAAGCAGCTAATCAAGGTGTTCAGGATTTATAAATAACGGGCAGATGTGTTAGACCAGGGTTGAAACTGAAGATCTGCAGTAAGTTAGTGGCTACCAGTGTAGAGGCAAACCCAGGGCTGTCCAAACTTGTTCCTGGGTACCCACTGTCCTGCAGAGTTTAGCTCCAACCCTAATTTAAAGGGATAGTTCACCCAACATTTTTAATTCTGTTATTAATTACTCACCCTCATGTCGTTCCAAACCCATAAGACCTTTGTTCATGTTCAGAACACAAATTAAGATATGTTTGATGAAATTCGAGAGTTCTCTGATCCTCCACAGTGCGCAAAGAAAACTAAAATAATGACTTTATTCAACAATTCTTCTCCTCCTCATCCCGTCTGCTGTGGCGCATTGTAGAGAGAGTATCACGACGCACGCGCTTGCTTCCGCTTTATGTAAACGACGCATGAGCGTGTCCAATGTAATCGTCGGCACGCACATTCCTTGTTTACATGAAGAGGAAGCAAGCACATGCGTCGTGATACTCATAGTCATTATTTTTGTTTTCTTTGCGCACAAAAAGTATTCTCATAGCTTCGTAAAATTACGGTTGAACCCCTGGACTATTTTACTGATGTCATTGCTACGTTTATGGGCCAGGGAACATTTCAGTTGTGTTGCAGTCTATGCAGAGTCAGAAATCTCTCGGATTGCATCAAAAATATCGTAATTTGTGTTCCGAAGATGAACGAAGGTCTTTCAGGTTTGGAACGACATAAGGGTAAGTAATTAATGACAGAATTTTCATTTTTGGGTGAACTATCCCTTTAACACATCTGAAGCAGCTAATCAAGGTCTTTAGACTCACTAGAAACTTTCAGTCAAGTGTGTTTAAGCTGGTTGTAGCTAAACACTGCAGGACGTTGGCTCTCCAGGAGCAGGATTGGACACTCCTGGGCTAACCAATCTGTTATCTAGTAGTTTGGATTTGTTTATGTGTATAATACATCATGTTGTCTGAGATTACTGTAGAACTGGACTGATTTAGGTCTCAGTTGGTCAAGATAGTATATCAGTTTTCAAATGTTTTCAGAAATGAAGAAATGTTCATAAAGATAATCTGTAATGTGCTGAATGCCCTTCTTCCAAGCAGCGCAGGTCAAGCAGGAGTTTAGCATAAGGACGGACCTTAACACCAATGACCTTGCAGGGCAGCATCCTACCACCTCCCCAGCAGGTCTCACCACTATTGGAGACCCAGTTGCTTCGGACAAAGTCCAGCCTCTTGAGCAGTGGCTGCTGTCTGAAGGGACAGTCTGTGCTCCATCTTCAAGCCATCTCAGTTACTCACCTCAGGATCCTCTGTATCTGAGCCACTCTCATCCAGCAGACAGAAGCCTCAATGCTGAAGCAGACCTCTACCCTATGTTCCACCCCTTATTGGTGGATTTCAGCAACTCTTTGTACCAAAAACCTCAACAAGATCTGTCTTACAAAGGGCAACCTAGTCTTCCAGTGGCTGGTGGTTCACTGCAAGGCTGCAAGTCACTCCAAATCTTAGCAGAGCAACCAAGGTCTCAACTAGGCAAAGGATACCAAGGCATTCCTTCAAAACAAAATCATAATCTCCACAACCTTGGGCCTGCCTCAGTGTCCAATACACCCATGATAACTAGCCCAAATGTGAATACATCTGGTCTGTATGCAGTGGATCCAGTGCAATTCCCACACTCCTCGTCTTCCCAGGTGCTTCCTCTTTCTCATCAGCCTACTCTTGCCAAAGTGCCTTTTAACTCACCGTCTGTCAGAAAGAGTTTGATGGACCCTCAGCCTTTCGGTGCATCTCTTCAGGAGTCCATCAAAAGTTACAATATGTCACAAGGTGGAGAACGCGTCACCATTAAACAGAATCCAAAGGAAGAGAAAGAGCTAGCCTTTCGGTCCATAGGCCTACAGGATATCACTCTTGATGATGGTAAGACTCCAAGGAGAACCATTTTAAAGCAATGAAGATAACTGGACAATGTTGATTACCACAGAAATATGTTTTGACAAGCAAAACTAGTCTATAGAACAGGGGTCCTCAACTCGACCTCGAGATCCACTGTCCTGCAGAGTTTAGCTCCAGCCCTAATCAAACACACCTGAACAAGCTAATCAAGATCTTCAGGATTACTACAAATTTGCAGGCAGGTTGGAGCTAACCTCTGCAGGAAAGTGGATCTTGAGGCAAGGGATTCTCCAAAATAAATAAAATGACACTGTTTCAAAGGTCTAACCATAAGAACTAACAGTAAAGGTCATTGCACACTGAGTCCGAAATTTTCGCACATTAAATAAAAAAATACGACCTCAAGTTATGTCAATTATGTTTACACACTGCCTCCGAAATTTTCGTCTGTCATAAAAAAATTCGGATCGGGTTTGATTTTTTCTGTTTTTCGCATTCGTTGCAAGCATTTTGAGAGGTGTTTTGACAATTCAGAGCCACCGTACAAGCGAACGCTAAAATCCAGAATGGCGATTGTCAAGTTCATCCACTTCGTCTCGCAGCACAAAGCACCGTAAAGATCCTTGCACACTGAGTTCACGGAAATTGGTGGTCTTCTTTTTAATATGTTGCTCTAGTATCGCTAGCAAAGAATCAAACTGAGCCACTGACATCCTGAAGTAAACTTTGAATCGCCCGGGATAATCCCGCTGCTCCTGAGGGGGAACTCTCCGTCCTCTCTATATCTCAGGATTGGATGGACCCAATATTTCCTTTCTTTTTTCTCTTTTTAAGAAGCGAGAAGACAACAAAATCGTCCTCACTGCTTGAAGACTCCATTTAGTGCTGTTTTGTGATTTTTTTCGCAACTGATTAATTAATACGCATCGGACTCGGTGTGCAAGGTTTCTGTGCGTGATGAATTTTTAGGATTTAGAATACGAAAAAAAGCATACGAAAATTTCGGACTCAGTGTGCAGAGACCTTAAGTCTTCTTCTAAACCACCTGAAACCGTAATCCCAATGCTAAAAACAAGATTTAGACAATTTTACTGCCGAAGCAAGCAACACATACAAGCTAAACTTCACATTTCTGCTTTTAAATTTGGTAATCCAGATTATGCCAAAGATGTTGAGTCCTCCTTTAGTGATCCAGAAATAAAGGAAACCATTAACAGTTTCACTTTAACACCAAATATTACTGTGATTGTATCTGTTTATTCCAGGCCATGTTATCTGTTTACATGTTAGACACACTTACTGTGTCTCATGCTGGGTCAATAACTCACCCCAGGCTGCAATACCAAAATATGCGCTAGCTTTGTGGCATATGCTAACCAAGCTTTTTGTTTACTCTCAAGAAAAACTAGCAGCTGCCACCCCTAGTGTCTGGAAGCCTGTTTAGTTTGGGCCTAATTATAGTCCACTGTCCCCGCAGTGCAGCGGGAAAGAGGATACTGGCATTGCATGGAGTCACTGAAAGCGCTAAATATACCTCGAAGGCTAATCCACCGCTAGTTTTACACAGCTGTATTGTGACAGTCTCACATACTTCACATAAGATATTGCTGCCATTAACCTGGAAGAAGACACGTGGAAGAAGCACATTGGCTTGACTGAACTTGATCTTTGTTAATGAAGCTGTCCATTCCTTGTGTTTATTTTTCTATGGATAGAATAGCATAGAATAAATTTAGTTTAAAAAAAGTTTTAGTTTATTAAAAAGTTGTACATTTTTACCAGATTGAGATCAATTTTATGAATTATAAAATATATAACATATAATCAAATTAATTGCATTTAATGTTTTTAATACATTTTTAAAATATTAAATAATGAAAATAAAATAAAGAAATAATTTTTTTTTAATTAAATATAGAAACATAGGGTTTAGATTAAATATTAAATTATATATTGCACATTTAAATCATAAATATTTACGTTCATAATTAGCCAAACCCTAGGACAGACTGTATTATTTTTGTTTGTGGCACTCATTTTTTTTACTCAGCACTTATTCGTGTTAGAGAGGACAGGTGCAGTGAACTGGAATACCCCTGTTGAGTGAGTGCTGTTGTCCCGAATCATGCTCCCTTCACTGCCAGGGTGTGTGTGTGCGCGTGAGTGTGTGTGTGTGTGTGCGTGTGAGTGAGTGTGTGTGTGCGTGCGTGTGAGTGAGTGTGTGTGTGAGTGTGTGCGTGTGAGCGTGTGTGTGAGCGTGTGTGTGTATGTGTGTGTGTGTGTGTGTGTGTGAGAGAGAGTGTGTGAGTGTGTGTATGTGTCTGTGTGTGTGTGTGTGTGTGTGTGTGTGTCGGAGGGGGGGTGTGTGGGAGGA